GTTCATACCGTCGTTCAATGTAATGCGGTAATGGAAGAACGGCCTTGGACCATATGACCTACGTAAATGTTGCAGCCACTTGTCGCCACTTGCATCTTCAACCTTTTAGCACTTGTGTGCTACCCAACCCACTACTGCATATGTATACGAGTTTCCTTTTCTCGTCGAGTACTTGTGAGGATCTGGAGTCAAGCCTATATTGCACTTAGGCATTTTGTGCCTTAATATCATTTATGTGTAGCTGAATATCTTGCCCATTCGTTTATGCAATTAATATTATTCGTATAATGTATAATCGCAATTTTGTTTATTGTAAATTTGCATATTTATAATGTGTAATATCATAGCCTCTCTTTAGTTATGTCGTTTCGAAGACTGCCAACTTCCCCATCTTGGGTGTTTTGGAATAACTATTTCGTGGAGGATTTAAGGAAACTTTACAGGCGAGTTTAGTATCTCTGAGAGGGAGGATGGTTGGATGTTATCAGACAAAATGATCTGAGAACGTTATCGAGGCCACCAGCCGAGGACAAAGGGCGTATTGATGTGGGAGCGGGTAGACTGGCCTTGACCTCTCGTATAGCTGTTTGACAACGACCACAAATCTCCATTCTGGGACACCATTCAACATGGCATCTGACACGCGGAAAGAAGTGATGCGCGTGGCGATGTAAATGCCACGGATAGAGCTATAATTACGGTGTTAATGTCTTGCTATGTTCACTTAATTCTGCTATCAGTGTTCTGTTTTTGTATTATCATCAGATGTTGTTGACCAGACCACACACCAGAAGGTGAAGGGACGACGACGTTTCGGTCCGTCCTAGACCATTCTCAAGTCGATTGAGATAATAATTAAATCAACATAATTTAGCCACGTTACTGTGACTCATCGCCATCATCAGATGTTATCACCCTCTAACGCAGCGTGCGTTTAAACTACTGTGTGTCTATTATGCTTGTCAAAATTAGTCTTAATCCACCGTACCGTAAACCTCCTCCCCCCCCCCCCATTATCATAATTTATATTAATTGTACCTTTGAACTTAATACTAATACTTATTACCTAATAATGTACCTAATGTACCTAAAATGTACCTAATACTTGTACAACTGTGGTAGTAATATGTGACGCATATTACCACCATGAATAGACTTACAAAATTTGTATTTGAAAACAGTTATGTTCTTACCAGGCGATGTGAAAGGTTCTAATCTTGGGGGTTGTTCTATATCAAAGTTTACAGGAGTTACGCAGTTTCATTTCTGGGTAGGTTATGAAAATGTTGTATAGTTGGCCTCTGGCATGAAATATCCCACCACCACCCCTTCATCTCCACCTATCTAGCAATCACACGAGACAAATCAGGATTTCAGGCTGAACAGACTCCAGAAACAGGCTAAAAGGCTAACCAGACGGGTACGTCAACATCTTTTTAGATTCCCACTCGTGCGTATCATCTGCCATTGGATAATTAGTATCAAGAGTCTTAATGGTTGCAAAAATCTCCACTTTTGGAGTGGAGATTCCACTATTTATTTTTATAAATTATTTCAAATATTGGGTAAGCCATTTGCAGTGATACTATACCATTTCCGCCATACCTCCCGCATTCCAACACTAATTCCTTTCCTCTCCACGAAGAATGAAAATAGTCTTGTACTAATCGTATACAACTGTGGTAGTCAGAGGGCGTGCAGCTGGACTCCCCATTGTAACAACCTGGTTGATGGGGTTCTGGGAGTTCTTATACTCCCCAAGCCCGGCCCGAGGCCAGGCTTGACTTGTGAGTTTGGTCCACCAGGCTGTTGCTTGGAGCGGCCCGCAGGCCCACATACCCACCACAGCCCGGTTGGTCCGGCACTCCTTGGAGGAATAAATCTAGTTTCCTCTTGAAAATGTCCACGGTTGTTCCGGCAATATTTCTTATGCTTGCTGGGAGGACGTTGAACAACCGAGGACCTCTGATGTTTATACAGTGCTCTCTGATTGTGCCTATGGCACCTCTGCTCTTCACTGGTTCTATTCTACAACGTTGTCCAGCTCTCAGTAACACCACTATACACACAGCCTCACCACTCGACGCCCGTTCCCGGCACCCTTAATGTTATTTAAGGCTAGAATATTTATAAAAACTAAGTATTCCAATTATAATATTGGAAAACCAAAGCCAATAAATTGCACTCTGGAAATTGCTGGTTTTCATCGTTGACTGAACGGTTCACTTGGATATTGTGCCTCTCTAGGAATACTGATACTTCCTGTATACTAATATTCCCAGTGGCCATTCATTTATATATTACAATTCATTTTTTCGTGTCCAGACATGTGACTGCCAAGGTATATTTACATGATGATTAGCCACGGTGAAAATTGTTTAATTTGCGTAATGTATTGCCATGTTTGAGTAACTTGATTGTATTATTCTTGACGCGTGCATGGACCTTGGGTGAATAGCGTCAGAGAACTCCCATGTTTCATGCTACATTTATTCTCATTACAGTTGTCAAATAAAAGTGTATTGGCAAAACAGGCTGTTCTAATTTATTGGACTGATTGCTGTTGCTGACCTTTGTGTAAAATATAAACTGATGAAATTCTCTCGCCGAAGAACGCGAGGCTAATGTGGCGTTTGATAGATTTTCTCGAGGTTAGTTGTAGCACTTGCCCTCGGGATGTATTGGGTTGGAAGCTGCACCAATCAGCGTTGTGGAACGTGCCATGCTAATTCCAGAGGGTAAAACAAAGGAAGATGGTGGTTTGTTAAATGGTTTGAAATGTATTTGCTGTGCATCATTTTTAGAAGTGTTAAATCAGTCATGATCAGTGATTGTCCTTTTTTCTTTGTTACGCCGGGCCACCCCACCTGGTGCGGCGGAGGGTTGGGTGGGTGGGTGGGGGTGGATTAGCAGGTAACCTTGAGAGAGCAGTCACCCCAAACCTACCTACCCACCTGGATGTTGACCCCTCGTCATTAATCCCGTTCTATACCCACCTTCCGCAAATAGTTCATGGCGATAGGCATGTAGCTCACTCTGCTCCTCACATTTCGGCTGTGCACTTCATTCCTCGTCATATATTCGTACACATGCTGGGAGGTTTCGTGTTTCGTTGGTTACGCTTTGCTGGCGATAGACTGACCTGGCGGGCCTTTGCGGAGACTAGTTACAGGCGTGTTATGTGATACTGTGTGTGTGTGTGTGTGTGTGTGTGTGTAGCACTTTGTTTTGGGAATACTGTACGTACATTATACGGATTCGCCAACTGCTCTTAATGCGGGTTTCTAGTAGTGATATTAAAATGGCTTTAGCTTGCTGAATGTGACTGAACCAAAGGTACTGGTGTGGCTTAGTGTAGAAAACTAAAATATGTTCATCAGCTAAAGAATTTATACGATACTCAGACATTATAAAACCACCGGTATGAATGTGATTGTTAAAGTGAAGGCTTATTTATTAAAGTGAAATGGGGGAGGGGCATATCACATTCCGGGGAGAGGTACACAAAGGACCTGGGCAGAAAGCTAGGTATTTAATATACACATTAACTACAGTCTTGTGTATATATCTTCTTATTTGTTCTGCTGAATTTGATGGTGGAAAAAGTCGGCGAGTAAAGTAGGCTCATTAGTTTTGTTTAACCGGGTAAATGTTGCATGTAAATTAGTTTCATTTGCGTCCTTTCCTGGTGACTTTATATTTCATCTGTCTTGCCCTTTTCCCCAGAGCGGTTTTGGTGCTGCTGCTGCGTGAGAACACGGTGGGGGGGGGGGGGGGTTGCTATTTTATCTAAGGCCTCTGTTGAAAGTCTGGTTAAGGTCTGTCACAACTTGTGCAGGGAAATAATACAAACTCTTGGAATTTCAGTTAGGGAGTACCAGCAGGGTGGATAGGTGGATTTCTTAACATTTTCTTTAGATTCACTGAACGCCGATAAGATTAGCTGTCCGTGGTATACCTAGAGCCGGTGGCAGTACTTTCGTTCCTTCGAGCAGACGTTAATGGCATACAAGAGTTCTTACAGTTAACACTAAAGAACCAAAATAGTGTTTGTATGTACATCTCGTGTGTGCATGTATACATCAGCATGTACATGTAGCGGCCATCATGTTCTCTTGCTGTCATCATTCAGCGTTGCCGCGCGCCTGGTCTTTCGTCCATCACGGTTCTTAAACATTGGTACCTGTGTTACTTTTGTCATCTTAGAAAGCTCCAGTTTTCCTTGCAGCAAGGTGGTAATGTTTGTCATTAATTTCCACAATTTCTTCGTGCTATTGAGAATACATGGTAACTTACCATCTGGTTCTATTTAATTCTGAAGCTATGGTAACTCGTGGATCCTTGCTTCTCAGTTGGTTGCGTATAACAGTACGTATCTTGTACTATAACACACACACAGCATAACAGTTGATCTTGACGGCTTGTTTGTGTAGAGGGGAAGGGGAAGCAGAGACGTGGGCGTGGTTTATAGGTTGGGCTTTGACTGTTAATGGGCGTAGAGGAGTTAGTAGTGGGAAAAATAAGGTGTGGGGAGGGTCAGTTGTGGCTACGCTGACTAATAAAGAAGGGATCCTTAGTTTCATGGCCATGCGTAGACGTTAAATGGCAGTCAGGTACCGTGCTTGCGAGAGAAGGGGAGGTCCCCTAACCCACCTACACTCCCGTTTATAAAAACGAGAGTTGGGTGGGTTAGGGATTACGGGCTCACCATAGCCCGTGCTACATGGACACTTCGTTCTGAGTAGCAAAATCTGTAACAACTGGGTTAAGGAGCCTACATTGGTACCCCTACCAGGGTTAACAAATCATACTGATTAAATTTAGGTCGTAGAAATTATAAATATTTCTTAGGAGTTTGAAGACAAACATTTTGTTTGATGATATTTCCTTTGTATCTGGTCATATAAGTATATACATACACAGTACAGTGAAATGTTATGGCCCAAGTAAGTTGCATTGTGCTAACCATTTAGTGAAGTTGGATGTGTTGGCTTTTACAGTAGACGACGTAAGGCAGAACCCACCCAAGCCGCACCGGACGTCGTGTACACGGCCCGTGTCATTGACCTGAACCAAGGCTGTTGATTGCTAGCACACCAACCCACCGCACCGCCTCAAAGTGTGACTTGAAGTAGCAACAGACCAGTGGGAGGGAATGGACGTGAGTGATGCTAGGCTTAGGCAGGGGGTCATTCAATTCTAGGTTATAATTGATAATTTGTGGACGTTTTTATACAGTACTTTGCACTAGAATGTTTCGGGTATTTGGTTTTTGCATGCACTAATTGTCATTGTATAAAAAATAAAAATGATACCTTGAGGTGCTTCCGGGGCTTAGCGTCCCAGCGGCCCGGTCGTCGACCAGGCCTCCTGGTTGCTGGACTGTTAGGTCCAGAGGTGATACTGATAATTGAGGTCTAAAAATGTCAAATCCTTTGATGCGGGGAAGGAACGGAGAGGAATAATGTACAAACACGGCAAACGTTTGTGATGGAGGGGAGTTATCAGAGGGAGGTCAGGGAAGTGTGGGCTTCAATGTCGTTATAAGGAGACGGGGTGAGAAGTGAAGTTTAAAAAACACTGGTAAGGATGTAGTGTTAAGCCCCATCGTGTCTTTGCAACACATCTTGCGAGGAGGGAGATGTAGGAAGTTGTATGGTGTTACAGGAAGACGAGGGGAGTGAGTTAGGTTAATCCCCCCCCCCCTCTTCCCCGGCTTTAAACCTGTCCCTGAAAAGCCATTATCCCCCCCTCCCTGGGCTCTCACCCCCAGTTACAGCCCTGCTTCTGTGTCAGGTAAGTCCACTACGGGTTCAAAGTAGTGGACGTAAAGCAAGTCCCGTGCTACTTGGAACTTTTTGTTCAGAGTAGCTGAATTGAAAAAAAAAATCCCGGGCTCCGTGTAGCTTGTTCGCGAGGAGGCGGGGTGAAGAGAGCGGATACTTGGTCGGTATTACAATCATTGATAAGCATATGTAAAGAGGAAATCACTTCATTATATGGCGCTCTAGTTCGTAACGGTCAGTTGAGAATGTAGTATTTGGTAACGAGCCTGGCCCCAGGCGAGCCCTGGGAGTAGCTCCCGAAACCCTCTCCAGGCAACTACATTAGTGCTAGTTTGGTGCCCGTAATAAGCTCAATTTATCATTGCCACATTTTGCATCCTAAAACTTTGAGATAATTGCTTCTTCCTCGTTTGTCGTTAGTTAGCGAGGCAGAGCATCTTCCACCATCTTAACACTGCTGGGTAAAAGTCTGTTTTGATAGCAATCATTGTTTTCGCTGACCACTGCCAAGCTTTCTCCCGGCTTAGTGGTCCTCGCTGCTGCTACTGTTCTACGTGGCTCGAAATAGTCGGCAGGAATCTTGTCGATGGCGATGGATGTCCGATAACTCCACCAGTTATCACTGCTGCTCCAACGTAAGGTGCTTTTGGCGTTAAGAAACCCTTTCGTTATAATTTTACGTCTCGCATTTTTCTGGTCCCATTAGTGCTTTGGTCGTAATTAGGAAATTGGATTGGGTACTTTTCTCGGTGATGGGGAGGGGCGTGGTGGTGGCAGCGGCGGCCTGGCAGGTGTGGCCAAGCGTAGCACTTGGGACAGCCACGGCCGGAATTTGTTTAGCCTTTCCTCTTCCTTCAGTTTGCTCTAATAATTCACTGTCCCATTTACAACTGTCGCCTTGTTTACGATCATCCCCTCTTTGGATCTTTGTTCTTCTAACATTTGTCGGTTTACTCTTCTGATCGCTTTTACGCTTACAATAATTGTTTTTGTCTGCTTTAATGCACGTGTCACACCGTGTTCCTTTGTTTATTGGTTTCAGTGAAGGCTTATTTGCTTATCTAAGCCTTGCAGCGCTGAAGGCCAGCAGATCCTCAACTCTCCAGTTAGGGTTTAGATGGACACATTTAGTCTAATGACCATGACTCTTGAACACAGAAAGGTAAATCTTGCTCTCGAGGTGTAATTAACACAGAAAATATTGAAACCCTTTTTCAGTGTTAAGCTATTTTTGGTAAATTTAAATTGTATTAATCCTAAAATTGCCATATGGTGTTTGGAAAATAAAGTTTTGAGAATTTGTAATGTTTAAAAAGAAATCGTACACTGGCTAGTCCATAGACCCATTATTGTGTAGGTTTAACCTTGCTGCTTCGTGTCTTCTTTACTCTTCTTTAATGCGGCTTTTGGGTTTCTTTTTATCGTGTACTTGTATTCTCAAGCCTCCCCTCTCGCGTCCCTTAGTTTTTTTTCTTTTTAAACATTTTCTGCTGTTAGGGTCCGCACCCTGCGTGTTGTTCCGGCCCCCACAATGTCCACTCATGCGTCACGCAAGTTTTGGAGCAGGGAGGCTTGTTTTATGCGCGCTGCGCCACAATATGTTGTGGCTGGGACATCTTAACTCTTGTAACCTTTTTGGAATGGAAAGATTTTCTTACACCTGCAGCTGTGTTTTACTTGTTACCTATAGACGGTTTTGACACTTATGTCACTGCTTGGCTTCGGGCCAGCCAGTCTCAGACATTTACGAAACACATACCTCTTTCATTAATCATATCACATTTGTTTATATTTACCACTTTGAGCTTTGAAACGTCACAGCCGAAGGGGAGTGTTGTAAATAAGCTCGTAGGGCTTCGGAGCTCATAAACAGTGTAATAAATTTATTTTTCAAAGTAATAAATGTAAACAAAGCTGCCATAATTTCTGCTGTACAGGTTTCATAAGTGCCTGCTTAAATCCATGGTAAATCATTGTCTAAGATTTTCCTACAGCAGGGCTGCTGCACAATCATCTTGTGTGGGGGATTTTCATTAAGGAAATGGTCAACCTCAGGGAGAGCCACTCGGCCGAGCGGACAGCACGCGGGACTTGTGATCCTGGGTTCGATTCCAGGCGCCGGCGAGAAACAATGGGCAGAGTTTCTTTCACCCTATGCCCCTGTTACCTAGCAGTAAAATAGGTACCTGGGTGTTAGTCATCTGTCACGGGCTGCTTCCTGGGGGTGGAGGCCTGGTCGAGGACCGGGCCGCGGGGACACTAAAAGCCCCGAAATCATCTCAAGATAACCTCAAGATAACCTTGCTTTCCTTTTACTTTAATAAACAAACAAATCATGGGCTAAATAGCAGTGATGGCTACACGTGCTGTTTATTTCATATGAATATTTGGCTTGCGTAGTCTTCAGTTCTTAGCAATTAGTTCTTAGCGGCCATAGCCATTTGTCTCGTCCGGTTCGCCGTTTCTAGAAGATTCTTTGCTAAAGCTTCAGTGGCAACAATTTTTTTTTTTAGTCGCAGATTAGTTTAATATTAGTGTTGCCCGTCTAGGTACACTCACGCTCGGGGTTGGTTGTGTACACTGCTTGATGGAGTTCTGGGAGTTCTACTCACCAAGCCCTCGTCTACTCACCAAGCCCGGCCCGAGGCCAGGCTTGACTTGAGAGTTTGGTCCACCAGGCTGTTGCTTGGAGCGGCCCGCAGGCCTACATACCCACCACAGCCCGGTTGGTCCGGCACTCCTTGAAGACTCCGGCACACTGTGATAGTCAGAGGACTTTCGCCAGGGGAGATACGTTTATAGACTGACGATGGAAAGAGATTCTTAAAAGTTGCGTCATGTGGCAGAAGGAACAGTTGTGGTGGAACGTGGGGGCAGAGGATGGTTGGATTTAACACTTGGACAGTAATGTTAGTTTCGCCGAGATCTCTAGCTGGTCACATTGACCCACTAACTGGTTAAAGGCGAGAGTAGAATTCCACAACTGCTCAAAGATTTTGGCGGAGATTCGATTGCTTTGATCGTGATTTATTTTAGACGGGTTAGCTAATCTTAAAGAAGACTGAACAGTTTGAAATCTAATGTGCAGCTCATTGGCGGTTTAAGAAATTAACTACTCCGTATATATTGTAATTTGCTTGAAATGTTTAACCTCACGAGGAATTCATTTTTTATTTCCCTGCTTGTGCTTGTGTTTAAGGGGTCGGCTGGCGCTAGCGACACGTGTCCCATCCCAGCAATAGAATACTTTTACGTAGTGTCGCGTGGTCAGCGGTAATTTACGGTCCGTTAGCGTCAGTTACAGTATGGGCGAGTATTTCCTAAGTGTGTTGGCGGTGGCAGGCATGTGACGCTTGTGGTCTTGGCGAGAGTTTGAAGCGAGTGCACTGTAGCGTGAATATCTTGGCTTGACGGTAGGGGTGTGATGAGGGCGGTGTGGTGTAGGGTTTAGCTCCAGTTCTGTCAGTAGGGGTTATAAACTTAAGCATGTGCTGAAACGTTGTTTAGTTGTGTACTAAATGTTAAAAACATGTAATCCTGATTATGCATGATGAAATATGTTTATACAGACAAAGCCATATCGTGCGTCCGTATGATCAGGTAGATAATGTTCTACGTCTTTCATTTCAGAGCTACGTAGACTATTATTCTGAAAATGATTATTTCTGCCCTGATTATAACGTCGATGCGAAAGTGAGTATCACCATGTAGCTGTTGGGGACGTCTGGTGGTGGGAGAACGTTGACAGTCGCATAATTAATAAGCAAGCAAGCAAGGTGGGTGGACTTAATTTATGGCAGTCTTAGTCTTCGCCGGAACCACTGAGAGAGAGCTGGTCGACCAACTCCAGCCTTGTCAAGTAACCACAAGACGTAGCTGTCACCAGCAGTAGCCATCTTTGCTGTATACATAATCTTGGTCACGTAAGGGTGTGAGTGATGAACGGTTATCGTGGAAGTGCAGTTCCTTGGTAATTATTTCTATTTGTTGCGTTATGCGCCACTTGTAGTTAGTATGCACTTGAGTGTGGATTTGTTGACCATTCTGTACTACCGGACCAGCTTAGTGTGTCTGCGATGTAAGGTAGGGTAAGTTTATTCAAATACAAATTTGTCATGAAGTGCCTTAACATTAAAGGTAAATGCTGATCTTTGAGTAATTGGGAAACTGAGGAATGTTTTATAGTGCTTTTAAATATTGAAGTTTCGTACAATATTGAAGATAAATATTTTGATAGATAATAGTGATTTAAATGGATTTACTTTAAAACTGACTACGAAACTGCGCTCAATCTCTTGTACTACTGAAATAAGTCGTCTGAAGAATAACTTGTCTGGACGGTGCTTTATTGACCATTATTGTATTTAACAATTTTCAGTCTACCTAAAACGCAGGATATATTATCACTGAATGATTCTTGTATCGGTGACAGCATTTCGCATATGCGCTTCTCGTGTCTATTTTACAACGGTAAAAGTTAACATTCATAGGATTTGTTAGGGTTAAGGTAAACTCGAACTGTAATGTGGCATCCAGCAGGATGTGGTTGGTGTAGAGTATTGCTGGCTGCTGGCACTTGCCGTCCACCAGAGTCCCACCCGGTCGTAGTGACAGTATTGAATCCGTGACGAGGATTCGAACCTGCGTCCGGGAGCATCCTAGACACTGCCTTAATCGACTGAGCTACTTTTTACCCTGTCGTATCTCAGTCGATTAAGACAGTGTCTAGGATGCTCCCGGACGCAAGTTCAAATCCTCGTCACGGCCCTTATGGATTTGTCCATTTGATGCATCACGTTAGTGTGATCTCTGTGTGTCATAAACACTGAATTCTTACCCAGCCACAGTCCGATTTACAATGGGTGTTGTGCGGGCAAGGGTATGTTCTATGACCATACGATCAAGTTGTCACCTTATAAGTCTGCCCCCCCCCCCTCCTGACGTGCCAACTTGCCTAAACTTTGTTTCCAATTATAATATGGTGGAAGGGACCTATGCTTTAGTTTCATTATAATGACCCGCCAGCGTTACTGGTACCAGACATAGCGGAAGGAACGAGCCTTGTCGCAAAAAATTGAAACGTGGTGTTACGACAGCTTGAAGCAGTGTAAAAACATTTAGTTACGCATTTTCCCCAACGTGGAAAATATTATTCGTGAGTAGGTTAATGTTTGTCGCAGATTCAGTTGAAACACCCCCCCCCCCCCCTTTCCCCATGTGTCCGGAAGCCGGCATGCTTTTTTATTGGCAAATTGTATTGCACATTTGCAAGCTCATTTGGAACACGTGCCAGAATGCTTGTTAGTGTATTTAATTAATAAGCGCTTAAATTCAGTTTAAAATTTGCATTGTTAATAGTTAATTAGCACGGTATGTGGGACTGATGCTGCTGCATTTTTCAGATTTTAGTATATTAGAGCTGCCTCGCCATGAGTTAATAGTTGTAATCTCTGTGAAAGCTGTTCTTGATAGGTTGCTATGGCAACTCCATTAGTGGCTCATTGTTAGATCCTCCCCCTGGTCTTCAGCTGATTACCTGCCATAATTGCTTTTCGGCAGGGAGCTTTGAAGGAGTTAACTCCAGCACGGCCATTAGGGACACTCACCAGTAAAATGCTGGTTTGTTTAGCATCTTACTTTGGTACATTTGAGAGTTAACGCTTTCTCCTTCCTTCCCTTCCCTTCCCCCAAGCCTCCTGTTTCTTCTTCCCGTCCCGCTGCTTTAACAGCCCGCCTCCCGTGTTTGTGGATTGGAGACTAATTATCCTTGAGTGCCTCCTACCACCACTCTACCTGCGCACACGCCAATGCCACGACACTTTGACATTATTCTGAACTTAACATATAAGTATTTTTCGTTGACATTCGCCTCCCACGCTTATATTAACTTATTTGTCCGTGCATGTGGCCTTCTCTTGGTCTGTCTGCGCTCACCCCCCCCCCCCTTCACATGCTCCAACATTCGCCCCCCCCCCCTCTCCCGGTGGTCCCAACATTCGTCCCCCCACCCCCCACCCCGCCGAGTGCTGTCATAACTCGCCGTTTGCGCCTCACCTCAGCATTGTCGCCCCCGTGATAGGCAGGCGGGGGAAGGCTGATCAATACGTTGGAGCGCGGGGCGTGCTTGACCCCCACAACACAAGTTCGTTGTGTTTACATGGAAGTGTGTGTGTATCAACCTATTTGATAGTTGATACACGGCTGTATCAACTTGTTGTCCTTCTCGATCCTAAATCCTGCCTCTTGTACACTGACATACGTTGCACTAGATGTATTGTCAATTATAATTGTCTTTGCAACAGCTTTTGGTAAAGGGATTATCATTCAGCGAGATGTGTTGGATTGTTGCTTAGGTTTTTGTTCCATGGCGTGTCGTGGGTGGGCCGTGTTCAGGCTTTGGTGTGAGGGGTAGCAGCGGGGGAAGATCCGTCATATCCAGCTCGTCTGATCCCCCTTCCCGGATATCTGCACCTGTTGGCCGCAGCCATCATTGTCGTCCTGCGGGTCCTTGCATCACATTGCTCTGCCTCCCGACTGGTTATACAGCTGCTACCGAGCCTTTGTTCTCCACGTAATGGTTTCTCCAGCTTGTCCATGTGTACTTGACCGTTTCTGCGGCGCCTCGTTATGACTTGATGTACGTTTGTATACTTAATTAGGTTCGTTCAACATGCTCAGTATATTACAGCGGGCGAGTGAGGCTGACTTGACAAGAAGAAAATTTAATAACCCACGGTGAAGTTTTTTTTTTTTTTTTTTTTTTTTTTTATATTCTGATGGGTTTGTTGGTGGGCGTGAAGCTCGCGAGTTTGTCGACGCATGTCAGGGAGATACTTTTATTGTCTTATCAAGTTGCTGCTCCGGGTTTATAGAGATGGCTTCTAGGCGTTCCTGGCTTCTGGGAGCTGTAAAGTTGTCAAGAGGCTGGTGGTGTGTAGGCGGTGCTCACCTAGTTGTGTTTGTGGGGGATTGTGCTCTATTTAGTCCCGCCTCTCAACTGTCAAGCAAGTGCTGTGCAGATTCCTGAGCGGGTGGTGCTGTGGACAGGTGGTGGTGGTGATTTAAATTCAGGAGGTAGAGGTAACTAGGTGTAAAGGTATTAGTAACGCCTTCCCTGGCGTATGGTGTACGCATGGGAAACCATCCTCGTTTGGTGCATGGTATTCCATGCACCAAGCTGAGTGCACTCGCTCTCCCTGGCATGTGCGCCCTCCGTGGCCTCTCCCTGGGATGTGCGTCCTCGCGGTCTTTCCCTGTGATGTGCGCACTTGACGTAACAATCGTATCATTTGTTTAATCCGGTTGGTATAGTCTTTTAAAAAGTGGTTGGGAGTTCGGTACGTTAATCCAGCGGAGATGCCGTGGTCTTAATCCACCCCTGAAGCTTGGCCCTTTTATTTTTTGTTTTACTGACTGTAAGAGTGAGAAACTAAAGGAACTTAATTGGGATTAAGGCGGTGGTGTGGTTTGGTTGGTGGGGCGGCGTTCACCTGGCACCGTTCCAGTCACTCTGACCTACCCGCCACCATACACTGCTCATGTTCGCTGCTGACACCGGCCTCCCCTCGTCAGTACCCCCACTGGTACACGAAATGAGTTAATGTAAGGTGTAACACGGTGTTCGGGCGTGGAAGGTGGCAGAGCACACGCGGTAGTAGTCCAGCCAAGAGGGTTATTGTGTTGGACATGGGAACCAATTTGATATATTCTTTTAACAAGACGTTAGGTGCTAGCTTGGCGCGCTCGTGTAGTGTGCGACGCTGCCGTCTTTGCAAGTTGCAGATGCAATTGTGGGTGTGGTGCGGGAATAAGTGCAGGGCAGGCCTTAACTGGTTAAGGAGTCGGGACTGGTGGCGACTGAGGTGGTTGGCAGACCGTGGAGATGGCCTTGGCGGCGGGTACGTGGGGGAGTGAGACAGCCCTGGTAACTGCTCATGGTGTTGCCTTCGCTCGACACTACCCATCGCTCGAGGCCACGCTGTAATTTGCTGATCACTATCAAACCTTAAAGAAATGCGGGTTAGGGTAAATAAAATATGTATTTAGTAAAACTCGTGTACTACTTGGGGGGGGGGGGTGCCTTTACATATCTGGGGGGGGGGGGATGGGAGTGTGTGTGTGTAAATTTAAATTTTGCCCAGAGGAGCGAGTTTATTGGGCAGCGCCACTCATCTTGAGTGGACATACCGCCATAGCAGCATGTACAACACTCCCCAATAGGAAGAAAACCCGCTGGGTTGTTCATCGTGTGTGTGTGTAAGGTTGCAGAAGAATGGTGACCGCCATTAATTAAGTTTTAGGAGACCTAGGGGCGTGGGTGTAGAATTCGACGAACTAGTTGAACAGGTTCTGCAGAGCTGTTTGCCTGCTGTAGAGACAATTTAGATGTTCAGAGTTCGTCATACCAGCAAGTGCCGTGTTCATGGTTCATTTAAGTATTTGTGTATTTGTGTTCATGGTTCATTTAAGTATTTGTGTATTTGTAGAGCGGTTTGTTTTAAGTAGAAAGTAATTTATGAGAAGTACAGAATACCTAAATTTTAGAGAAATATGTGAACTGCAATCAATTTATTGGTAATTGGAGCATTCCTAGAGGAGGATTCATGAAGTAACTTGCGTGACCACTTAAGAAACCAGTGCATCTTTCCTCAACTATGACACCGTAGTATGTATTTATTAAACAGTTTTGAGTT